GAGGCTCGCCACGCCCCTCTGGGAGGCTCCGCCCGTCCAGGGCAAGCCCCGCCCCGGGCAACGGCCTCCACCCCACCCCGCTCGCGGACCCTCGCCCTTCCGGCCTCGCCCAACTGCCCTACGCGGGCGGGCACCGGCTCACCCAGGAAGTTCTGGTAGCAGTTTCGGGTCTGGTTCTGGTTGGGGAACCGGGGGTCGAAGGGCGGCGTTGGACATTGCCCCTTGTGGGGCTTCTCGGAGTCACTGTCCAGCATCCACGGGGGCGGCCACTCCTGCGGGCACAGGGGCCCCTGAGACCTGGGGAGGCCCTCGCCCTGACCGGCACCCCCAGACCCCGCCCCGACCCCACCGCCGGGCCTCACCAGTCTGCTGGCGGCTTGTCACCGGGTCGGCTGCTCTGGCGGCTTTGTCCGGTGCCCTTGGCTTCTGAGGTTCGGGGGTCCCGAGCCCAGGAAAAACACGACCCCCCCGCCAGGATTGGCTGGGGCCCTGGGGGCCCCAGCCAATGGAAGCGCAGGACTGCAGGGACCCTTCTGGAACGCGCGGCGGGGTCGGTGTGGACGCCCCTCCGCCTCCAGCCCGACCCCCCCTTCTTTGAGTGGGCGGCGCACACAGGCACCCAGGCAGCTCAGACTCCGGCTTTTAATCTTTGGCAAGCTGGGTCCCGCCCCGCCCCCCAATACAGTAAGGTATACCGGAGAGGCGCGAGCCCCGCCCGCCACATGGCACCCTGCTTCTTGCGTCCAGCTCCCTGCATCCTGGGCCTGTGGGGAGAGGAGAGAGCCAGGGTCTGGGCTGCCACTCAGTGGGGGCTGGGTACTGTGCAGGTCCGGGGGCTACCTGGCCGGTCGGGCTCCTCTGACACTTTGGCGACTGAGGTCCGACTCCGTCCTGCTATTCGAAGCCCAGGGTGTCACTGCTGGGGAGAGACAGCCAGAGGAACATGGGGGCTGCAGCCCGCGGCCTGGAGGCTGGCTGTGGCCTGCCGGCCCCCCGCAGTCCAGCGGCTCCGGGACTTCCCGGAGCCCAGGTCCCAGGGATGGGCCTGGGCACCCCGTCCGGGGGCAGAGGACCCAGCTGACTCTGGCCCCCGCAAACCCACTCTTCCTTCTGCACCCCGCGGCAGCCCTCGCTCTGGCTCCCTCCCGCGGCAGCACCGTCCTCGGAAGCTGCCCAGCGTGCATGTGCGCTGGACAGCTGGCCCTGCTCCAGCACCTCCACTCCCCGCCGCCGCGAGCCTGGGCCTTCCGGCCCTCCCCAAGCCCTGGGCCCGGCTGCCCCACACCCCAGCTCGCTCAGTCTCGGGGCCACACCCTTCACAGCCAGCCTGGCCGCTACCCCTTATTCTCCTGCCAGCATCCTGCGGCACCTCCCGCCCCAGAGGTCTCGCCGACTCCTGCCCAGTCCTCCGGCCCTACCACTGCCCCTGCTGTCCCCAGCTGCCCCGCTGGCCCCCTGGTGCTCCCCGTGTGGCGGGCCCTGCCTCCGAGGCTTTCCCACCGAGCCGCCTGCTGTTTGCGCGGGGACGTCCTTTTCGGCCAGGCCCTGCAGGGTGGAGCGGCCTCCCGGAGTCCACGTACCCCACGGCCCGAGGCCCGGCCCCCAGCGCCCAGGCCTTTGACTGGTGGAGGGGGACACAAGTGACAGCCACCGGGGTGGGCCAGCTCAGTACCTGGGCAGGAGCAGGCCTGTGTCCAGGCCCTCCTGGTTGGTGCCTGTGATGTCCAGGAGCGAGGGCAAGAGGATCTCTGAGGCAGACCCCACTGTAGCCAGGGGGCGCTGCTTCTGTGCCCCCTCCAAATCTGGGGGTCCTCCCTTGTGCTGTGGGGACATCCTCATCTCCATCTGTGGGATGGGGTTCGGTGAGCTGGGGGCTGGGGACACTGTGTCCTCCCACCTCAATGCAGGCAGAGGGATGGGAGCCTCAGAGATCCCAGTCTTCTTGGGGCCGCTGGAGGCCAGCTTGGCGGGGGGCGCCTGGAAAGTCGGCTTCTGCGGGCCCC